GTTTGCATATATCTTGTGGTTTTCTTATCCCTTATGAATTTTCAGCTCTGGCTCACCCACACCACTTAAACTGTCTAACTCTCAGAAGTGATTAACCTGTAACTTCTCCTTACAACATTCAAACATTATCCAACCAACAGGTAATGAGAATACTCAAACTTATCGAGTAGTTGTTGTTTTGATTTAACACCAAATTCTCCTAACTTATTTACAAATTGTGTAGCTACTAGAGGGGAGGATTAAGAAACAGATCTTAGGAGTTAAAGGGTTAATCCTTCGACCCTTTGACTAACATCTTCCAGTAATTTCCCCCTACAATATATCCCCTGAATTACACATTAAGGGCATGAGAATAAAGGAAATGATCACCAACTTAAGAAGATATTGATTGTTAAACAGATTCTCCTTGTCAGCACCTTTGGAAACGTATAGAGAACAGTATGGAGAATATGCATACTGATTTTGTGGTGTTAAAAGGAGTAGATGGTCCTCACAGTATGGTGGACAACGATTTTAACATTCCTACATGTCAATTTTTTTTATTTTATTTCCCCTGAAAGAGTATGTTAAATTTAGAAGCCCTATGCGTTAAGAAGGTAATCAGCATGTTAATTCATTCATTAAGATTAATTCTGATTGACAGATTTTTAATGCAGATAAAAGGATTTGAGGCGTTAATTGTATTCAAACAAGACGACCTTAGTCTCTGTCTGTCTGCAACGAAACACTAAGGTGCTTGTTGCTTCAATTTCTCGTCTATGTTATCAGATTTTGTGAGTTAACATCGCTTAATTGAAGCAGACAGCTTACTTCGATATCCCGGTATGTGTGTACATGTGTTTGTGGTCTCTGGTTAGATCGAGACAGAGTGTGTGAATATCTATCGCTCTTTATTCAGATCTGTTGCCTGTTGTGTTTCGCGGTGTGTCACGATTTTCCTTGAGACATTTCTTCTGCATTACTTTTATTGTGCAAAATAGAGGAAGTATTTCTTTTAATCAGCAAAACAGAACTATTTGCGGCCTTATTGAAAATGAAGTTTTAAACGCTGTTTGAAACAACACTTCTCGGCCTGTCCGTTCGTACGTGAGTGCCTCCTTTGTCTCCTTTGCCAAGCGTAATCTGACACTGGACAACCTACCTGCTCAGTGGATTACGGGGAATAATCCCTGTTGAGTTTTTAATCCTAATAAAATCGCCAGATATATAACCTTTCAAACATCTTGCGCTTGTAGTCGGCGAGGACCGGTAGCAGCCACTTAAAACGGGGAGGGGGGAGGGCAGGGGGTTCCTTGCTGGATGTGTGAGGGTGGTGGTGACAAAAGAAGCTTACTTTAGTATCTTGAGACCCGTTCAAGAGTTTGGCAACAAAATAATTCGGATATTACATACTTCCAACCAAAATTAGAAATACGAAGAGCTGATCTGTTTTCCACAATAATAACACCTCTGATTTCTAACCAGCTAAAAGATGAGTGACCCTGACTTCTCACAACCAAGGCACTTTAGTGACGTGGTGCTTTCTGTGGAGGGAACCAAATTTCACGTCCATAGGAGTACACTGTCTATGTGGTCCCCAGTGTTCGAGAAAATGTTCACGTCCGAATTCGTGGAGAGAGACGCAAAAGAGATAACTTTGCCTGGGAAAAAAGCAGACGAGATTGAAGTGCTGCTCAAGATAATGTACTCTCAGGGCAGAGCTCGTCAAATAAGAGGTACGCGAGTCTATGGCATAGCCTGCGGCAGGCTTATATTATCAAGGTTGCTAAGGGTTGCAGGACGCGGGTTTCTGACCACGGGAAGATTTGAAACAATTCGGGGAGAAGTTTGCTAGGGGTCTGGCACTAATCTCGTTATCCTTGCCAAACCGCTTGCCGACTCGCATTGCTCAAACTTTCCCGCGGGCTCGGAAACACTCTTGCCGAAGCGCTGATCATTGAAGACCAGCTCGCATATTTGATGGATTACTTTTGGTGTGAAGATCAGGACATCGGGATGGTGTCGGTCAACGATTTGAATTGACGATGCGTCGGTGGTAGGTCGGTGCTCGACGAGTTATTGAGAATCACCGACAGACTACTGACGCATCGTCCACACGTTTACGTATTGACACCATCCCGATGTCCTATCCTTCACAACACGAACGCATTTCCGTCACAATGCCAAGACTATAACTGACCCCTCCCTGTGTCCACCACTGAACTCTCCTGTAATGTTAGTCTGTTCTTCTTCGTCCTAAATCAACGCGGATACTTTGTGTGTCCACTGTCTTTAAGGTTATTTATGATATCGTTGTGTTTACAATGAGTACTAAACATGAAGAAAAAAATATTTAATGATTTATTGCAAATCAATCCTCTCTGTATTAGAAGAAAATTGTCAATTCCTGCTGGAACTGGCCGAGGAATACCAGATGGACACAGTTAAGGAGCTTTGCTGCGAATACCTTTCTGGCAACGTACAGGATACAACCTGTGTGAAGTTTTATATGATTGCAGAAAGATTTAGACTTGATTCTTTGTTGAAAGAAACACTCCAGCAAACGAAATATCTGCCTTGGAGGACATTGGATCAGGACGCGTATTTTGATAAACTTCCCGATAAAACCAAACTAGAAATCTGCAAAACAAGGATACAGGAGCTTGAAAAGACTCTGGCTGAATATGTAAATACATGTTCAAGCCTTGTGGATGCAGTGTATAGGAAAGTTGCGGAGAAAGTTCAGACTACAGAGTGTGATAATTACGAGGTTCATCGTTGCGGAGTGAGCGAACGTTTTAAGCTTTCTTGCAAGTGCTGTAGGAGGCGAGTTCAGTATGCAGAATGTGACTTGGAGTATTGGATTTTCAGAACACAACTGAAAAAGTTGTTTGATTTGGAACACTATAATAAAACAGCTCGGGAATGTAAAGGCTGAATAGTGTGAAAAAATTAAACGCCAACCCGCAGTTTTGGAACAAAGCGGTCAAACGTCTGCGCATGTGCAAGCGTCGTAATGACTAAGGACTAAGTGGCTTGCTTTCAGGCTGTTACAAGTAATCATACTAGCCAGTGAGTCACGGTGTTTTATAAGCGAATTACTTGTTTGGTAATTAAAAGCTCAATACAGGACGGTAATTCAACAGAATACCCGTTCTTGAATAAGCTTTGTGTTCGAAAAGTCTAGAGTTTTCCTTTTCCATAATTGTGTTTCCTGTACAGGAACAGTACAGGAAATAGCGTACAGCGGCTTGGTTAGGAT